TTTAATCTTCTTCCGCTCCCTGCGCGTCAGGGAATGAATGAGCTTACGGTTGACGACGGCTCCTTCAATCTTCTTCCGCTCCCTGCGCGTCAGGGAATGAATGAGCCTACGGTTGACGACGGCTCCTTTAATCTTCTTCCGCTCACTGCGCGTCAGGGAATGAATGAGCCTACTAGTCAACTTTTCCCGCACAATGCCTCCGACATGCCCGCAGTCACTTCGCGGCTAGACAAAGCGTGTGAAATGTCACAGGCCACCACGCAGCCGGGCAGCAATGTTACGGCTATCACACGGAAGACTTCACCGCGGGACAAGTACGCCACAACCATCCGACATACAGCCGCTCCGCCGGACGCCGATATCTCTACTCTCCGGTTTGAGACGCAGCTCGACGCAGCTATAAATCGACTTCACAAGTATCAAAATGACAATGCATATACTCCTCCCCAAAGAACTGCACAGCTAGACAATGGGACAATGCATGCAGATAAAAATACCCCAATTTCGACCCAGACCAGCTCTCAGCAAGACAGAGACGCTGCTGCCACTCGACGAATGAGTGAGCAGCTGAGCAATACGTCGTCCACTCCGCAGGCTACTACGCAGCGAGACGAGGATGCATATTTCAATATTCAATTCGAGACGCAACCGAAAAATACCCCTTCCATCCCTCCAGCCAGTGCGCAGCTGGACGACAATGCGAGCATTGCATCCTGCATATCACGCACGTCTAGTCCCGACGGCGACCTCGACGGCGGCGCTCAACTCGGCCGCAGCGAAACCGCATTCAGTGTCATGGACACACACTTTAGCCGACCCGCATATCCTGCGCCATCAAAACTGCCCCTGGCGACGGTCACTGACACCCCGGTCACGGCTCTCGACCATAGCCGCCATCATGCGCTTCAGAAGCCGAACGGTGCCCTACCCTGTCTCCGCCCGCCCCCCGGCCTTGCCGCAGCACCTCTCCTCCCCGATGTGAATTCGGATATCCATTTCGACAGCGCTCTGTGGCCTGACGCCACTCGCCGCTTTATGACTGGCGCGAAATCATGATCTCTTTCTTGTTACTGCGCGCGACTCCTCTTTACCATCGCGGCGGCGTTTTTCTTTTCTTTTTTTGGAATCCAAGGGGAACGCCCAATAATTGTGTACAACTAATCTTTGCAACTGTCCTCGTGTACAGGTAGAATGATGCGATGCCTTTGGCAGGCGACTGTCTTAGCGAATGACTTTTCTTCTCTTCATATTATGAAACGACTTGAAATGATTGGAAATGATATTGTTAGAGTCTTCTCTGCTGCTTTCTTTTGGATAATACCATAGTTTTAGCCCTTACTTCTTTTACTACAACATCAATTTACTTTGTGCTCTCAATTGCGCTAGATTGTTTCGTCTGACCAGTAGTTAATTTTGTCTCCCTGGCAAGTGGCGACGCGGGACGACCCGCGCTCCACATGTCAAAGCGCCGGGCAGATCATTGGTGTAAAGAAGGGTTTCTTGGAGATGACGGCCTTTTTCCTTTGTACTTGAGATCCTAGTTATGGATGCGCTGCCACGGCCAGAGAAGGCTTGGTGACCGACCTACAACACCAACTCTTTGAACCGTTCATTCTGCCGGGACAGGAATACAATTATCAAGAACTTATCCGTACAATAGGCCGCCTGCAGATGGCGCTCACCCCGGCGGCTATCTATGGCACCATGCTGTTCATCTCGGCGTCGCGCATCAGGGCCTGGAGGCAGGCCACAAGCATAGCCTGCTTTATCATCCGCATGACTGGGCTATCCAATAAATCGATGAGAGCCTTGCCACCCTGTGACTTTGAGGATTCGCTGCCCACATGACAATTGCCCATCTGCAGGGGTTGAGTGGTTGCTCGAGGCGCCGAGCCCAGCCGACAGAACTAGGCAGCAATGATGGGGGGGGCGGGGAGGGACATCCAAAAGCCTGTTCCTTCACAAGTGGAAAATCTCGCGAGCATATGGTAGTTTTGTTGGTGGCAATCGCGCGTTCAGATGCCCACTCTCATGCAGAACTATTGTACGTTGGGCGGTTCGAGGATGCCGACCATGCGACCTGCTTCCAAGGCAGACTTGCTTCCTGTATCAGCCTCGCAAGGCAACGATGTTGTCTCTCATTCATTGGACAGCTAAGGAGTGAGGGGGTATGGTCTGGTCTTGTTACCGACAGGGCTGTGCTTTCTCCCAACTGTTGCGCACAGTTAGTTGCAACGTTCACGTTGGCCGGCCGTGTTGCCCCTCGGCCTTGCGCAGACTGTGTGTGGAGCGTGAAACGTGGCTATACCTCCTGCAAGCCTTAGTTGGGCGACGTATTTGCTTGAAAGTAGAGAGAAATAATTGTTAGGAAATATCAATAGTAGAAAAGTGATAAATAGCTCGGCTACGCCAGCCCAGCAGGTGACCCAGCACGAAGCCACTTTCATCCCCAAACATCCTTCCTCAGAACCGCCTATCGCCAAAAACCCCCAGAGCTGGCGCTTCCTACTTCAATACTTTACGACCCAACAAGGACTTTTTATCGGTACGTATAAGGAGGACGTGTGAGGTTGGAAGAGAGCGGAAAAGCTGACGGGCTATCTACACAGACAATGTGCGTTACTTGGACAGAATATTTCACCTGCGGCTGCGCCGATGGACGCCGGGACAGGAGTAATAATTGCGACGGGACATGTACCGGGGATGCCATCGTGTATAGCGAGGCTAAGGACGTTGTACGCAACGAGCCGTGTTTCAAACACCAGTATTTGACACCTCCGTCAAGCAGCGACGAGAGCGTCTCAGACGGTGCCTCGAGTGAAGAATCCGCAGACAACTAGAGCGAGCAGGTAGTTTGGCATGGCCCCAAGACGATTTCCCGCGTTATTTTGCGTCTTTTTCGTCATCAGTAGTAGTAGTAGTAGTAGCAGTAACTTCTGTTCCTGCTCGCTTGTCGTCATCACCTCCGTGCTCCCCCTTCTCTCCATGTCCATTGCTCTGCCCTTGTTCGCCGCTCACCTCGGGTTCCCTCTCCCCTCCTTGCCGGCTCCCCTCTCCGCCTTCTCCATCCTGCTGATTCTTCGGCTTCGGCTTCTGCGCCCAAGGGTTTGGCACGCCGGGCGGCAAGAGCTTAGAGGAGGGGGGGGGGACACGGTCAGTTAGGTACTCGGAACCGAGAGCGGAGGGCGATGGCTTGACTCACCACTGCACGATGCGGAAAGTTGCAATCATGGTGTTCATTTAAATACATCCACCTCGTCACGTACGTGTTAATGTACGCCGGGGCGCTGGTCGGCGTGCAGAGCGGCCTGATATGCTTCCTCACGCGAAAGCCTAGCACTTTGACGTCGGGGTCATGTTCCGCATTCTCGTACTCAAAGAGCACGAAGACGCGGCGCTCCGACACTGACGTCCCCATCAGCAGGGCCTTAGCCGGGTCGCCCGACGCGAACCGCACCACGTCGTTCATCAGGGCCACGTCCACCACCGTTTCGTCGCCGCCAGCGCGCTTCGTGTCACGGTCGAAGCGGCTCCGCGAGCACTTGATGAAGACCCGACAAGGACCCGATAGCGTTGTTTGTGCCATGTGTCCTTTCTTGAGGGCCTTTGGTTTTTTATCTTCCGATTTCAAATCTTGGGATCTCTTTTTGTTGACGGGTCCGTTGGGTGTTATGTAACGTGAAGGAGTATCAGGCTGAAGGAGTTATCAGGCTGGGAGGATAACTCCGCACCTGCACCATACACGTGACTATCGTCTTTATAGCAACCGAATAGGGCACTGAAAAATGATTGATATTTACATGAATCTATGAAAAGTGAAGTTGTGCTGCGAAACATTTTATCCTTTTGCTTTTGACAAAGAATTAAAAGGATGAGAAGAGTAAGTAAAAATGAAAAGGACAAAAAAGTCAACAAGTAGCAAAAATAGAACGAATAAGGGAGTTGGTAGTATTTATAATTAGTGGTTTAAAGTGCCTTGCAAGGTGAAGTTGTTTACTAAGCCAGGTCTTACACATGTCGTTTCCTGCACATTGCCAAAACTCACACCATTCATCACTTTGCAATGCCACTTCTATCCATCAAGACCCGCCGGTCAGCGTTTGGGCCTAGCTACGGCTCGCAAATCCATTTCTTGCATCCTGGGTATCCCGACGGACGGAACGTGCTGCTTAGCCTTCCCGCCTTTGACGACCGAGGCATTCATCACGAAACGGCTCGCATCGCCTGCGCGGTTCTCGCCAACTCCCGCTAGGATGGCTTTCTCTCTCCAACTAGAGATGGCGAAGCGGTGGCAGAAGCAGGAGACGATATACTTGTCAATAAGAACTACTATTCTAGAGTCCCAGACGGTACGTATCGAAATCTAATACAGTATTTTTGATGCTCTTGAGAGCTCTTCCCGTTTTTCTTCGTTTTTTCGTCTTCATTGGTACTAACGAGACCCTTGTAGATGATCACTACCCAGTCGTCCCGTCGTATCAACACTTTTGCTGTCCGACCACCCTCCCCGAATCATGCGCTACTGAAAGCCTGCACATCGAGCCCACCTCTATGGATGACGTGGGAAGCAGAGACCAAATATGCCGTGTGACAGCCTCGGAGCTCGCTAACGTGATTGCACACATCATCCCTCAGGCGCAAAGCGAATGGTGGCAGCGTAACATCATATTCATGTACACGGCCAACCCCGACCTCTCTTCTGATACGCGCTGCGCGGAAAATGCAATTTTGTTACGTCGTGACATACGTAAGTTGTGGGATGATAACCGTTTCGCCTTGATTACAGAAAGGTAGAAGGGTTCTTCATGTCCTGGAGAAGTTCATCGCACGAGCTCGAGACAGAGTACCATAACCTAGAGCTGCAGCCGCTCTGTGGGGCAGTGACACACTTCCTCTTTTGTCGTTTTGCCCTTGCCATCTTCTCCAAGAGTGTCTTTCTCAACCAGCGTGTGAAGCGGACACCAGCGTGTGAAGCGGACACTTGTGACACTCGATGGTGACAATAGACCACAAGTGCGGTCCATATCCTTGAATGACTACAGAAACTTGTTTCTGCGGCTGCGAAGGCGAATAGCCGCAGCCAAAGTCCGAAGAAGCGGGCGCGGTCGGCGCTGAGCAGTGACGACGCAACGGTGGATGAAATCGAGTCGGACGGGTCTGAGCAGCGAGGACGACGTAGGGGGAGGAGATGGTCGCCCGAGCCTTCACCGGGCTAGAACAACACGCAAAACCGCTCTATTCGCCACCATGACGAGCTCTCGCAGCCTAGGCACGTCGTGTCTATAAACTACTACTAACACATGGAAATTTACGAGGAGGATAAAGAATATATTGTGAAGGAGCCGAGCTCGAAGCACACTCCGGTCTGGTCCTGGCCTACCTAAGGCTACAAATTAGTGTAGTTTTGACTTGAAAGGGCCAGCCGTCATTATCAGCCCGCGTCGGTTGCAACCGTCACAAAACTTGGCGCGACTTTTGCCAATCCAAATCCCATCTCAAGGTGAGGCCTCCTAGCCCGTCTTCAGCTGTACGAATACTGTACGACTAAGTTTTGCGCTTGATCAGTCCCAGTCCCGGCCCCGTATCTCGGGGCAGCAACCCAATATCACGCTTGAATCGCTCGAGCCAGTCAGGAAGGTCTGCCGCCGTCTGATTCCACGGATCGCCTCTGTCAAAAACGATACCTGTTAGCACCATGAACAAAACCCTCAGAAATCACGCAAAGACTATACGTACTCGCCGTACTCGAGCCACCGGGCTTGTTGCTGAATCTCCTCGTCGCTCGGGATATGCTTGTTCGGGTTGCAGTCCGACATGGACGACGCCACGAAGCGCGCAAGACCGCGCGCCAGCCGGCGATATCCATTTGCATCGTTCAAATCGTAAAAGCCCCTTCGTCGCGCCGCGGCCGCTCTTTGGCGTTCTTTTGTCGGATCTTGCAGCGTCGAATCGGGGTCTGTTCCCATGGGGGAGTCGGTGCTGGTCGTCTGGGCATCGAGCATGGACGTGTCGCCGGCTGCGGCTGGGCTGACCTCGGCAGCCTCTTCGCCCTGTTCCACGGCTTGGAAGAGCCGCTTGCGAAAGTCGACTAGCCAGTCGGTGGAATTGTAGGTCAGACGGAGTAGCCAATTCAAGACATTCTCTTTGCTTGAAATGGATATTTGCTGGGCTCGCCGCAAGATGCGATCCGCTTCCACCTGGAGCTCCCAATTAGCGACCTCTTTGCCGCCCAGGGGCAGAGAGAGAGTAAACTGCCGCAGTTCGCTTTCAAAAGTACAGTCCTGGAAGATGTTGTCCTTTCCGTTGATGCGCAGTGCCGACATGCGGTTTTCCTCCTGGCCGCGGACAGACTGGAACATGGCGTCGCGGGTGATTTCCTCGCAAGACATCACGAGGTCACGCAGCCACGAGCCGGCTGTCGTAGTAGGATCCATAGATAGGATATCAGCACTGCGAATGATGCGGCATGCTTCAAGTTGAATCTCCGTGTCAGTCGGAGGGCTCCCAGTGTCGTCGGTAGAATTTACTATCCAGTATTCCAGTTCCATATTGAGCAGTTCGTAAGGGCTATTTGGTGTCCATGGAGAAACGCTGCTTGCCACATATGGCAGCGGTGATATCTTCTCGAGATGGATCAAATCTGTCATACTTGATTAGTTCTTGTAGCAAGGGTATGATGCCCGCCAACACGTACATGGTGGTATCGAGTTCTCTACCGTGCGAAGGACAGCTTCGTCAAAGCCCCAATCTCCCGTCCAATGCTCCATTGTGGCCCCGTTCTTAAAGTGCATCGCAAGGTGGTCAACACGCGCGCCCCAGCTGTGTAGAATAGTATTACAGAATCCGCAACGCGATCGGATCTCTGGCGACGCTGCCTTCCAAGTCTCCAGCGTCTCCTTTGGCACTTTGGCGTGATGGCCGAGCCGCAGATGCTGGGTGAGATGGTCCTTTCGGTAAAAGGTCCGTTCGGTCAGCGTTCGACTGCTGCAGAGAGAAAAGTTGTGCGACTCAAAGTGCGCCGCATCCGGGCTCGGCTGCGAACAAAATACGCATGTGAGAGAGCCCGTTACGGGATGAACCGTGAGCGGGCCGGTCGGCGCGCAGACCCAGCGATCGATGGAGAGATGCCACGTCTTTTCGTGCCGCTGCCAGTCGTACTTTGTCTGAAAGTCTTCGGCGCAAAAGGTGCACTGGAACGCGCCGCGCGTGGTTATGGGATACGCCGTGTGCGTGGGCAGGCCGGTGCGCTTGCGACGGCGCCTGCGCCGCGCCGAGTGGTTGTCTGGAAAGGGCGACAGGGAGACGCCGCCCTGAGAGGAACGGGCCGACCGAACGGAACCCTCGCTCGACGGCGCGTCGTACCTTCCAAAGGAGGAGCCGTTACTGAAGCCGACGCTGGAGCTGTCGTCCGAGTACCGCGATGCAGGCGTGAGACAGGAGCGCTCACTCGGCGAGGCGGGAATGCGAGCCGCCTTGACCGCGCCCAGAATGGCCGCCACGTCAGCCGGCTCGTTATCCGGCGGCGAGTTCTCCCAGCGCTGCATCGGGTTCAGGCCTTCCAGGATGCCGGGCGTGGCGCGGCGCGCCGGAATGTCCATGGGGGACATGGCCTCCATCGTGGACGCGGGCGGGCGCAGCGGCGCGGCCATCTTGGCGCGCCGGCGCGCATTGGCGAACCAGTTGATGATTTGCGTCTGGCTGAGGCCCGTCATGGTGCTGAGCATCTCCTTGTCCTCGCGCGCGGGGTACGGGTAGTGGCTGTTGGCCGCCATCCACTGGCGGAGGAGGCGCACGGCGCTCTGCGGGAAGCCCGGGCGCGCGCCGGCCGTGTCGGACGGCGTCGTGACGGGCGGGCTCGGAAAGTACGGTATGGACGCGCCGGTCCGAAACAGGGCCGTCTCGAGGGCCTCCTTGTCGTCAGCGGCAACAGGGCCAACAGCATCGGGCCCAAGATCGGCCGACGGCGGCTCCTCGGCGGGGGTGTGGGCGTGCTGGCCCTCGAGCTGCTGTCCGAGAAGCGCAAACTCGTTCAAGACGTCCCAGTCCTGGAAGATGTCGTACTGGGCGCTCTCGTCGAGGCCGGCGAGGTCCTGGTCGAGGCCGGGCAGGGCCAAGTCGAAGTGATTCATGGTGGCGGCGCAGAAGGGGGGGGGGGCGGTGGTGTATGCGGTGTTCGGCGCGACTGCAGGTCAACTTGTGCAGGTAAGACTGTATCCACACACACTATGAGGGCGTATATTCGACGTCAATATCGCTATTGGAGAGTGTAAAATCAAGGTGACAACCAAAGACGAGGTTCCCCGGATTTCTCTTCCGGTTCCACCACATGTTAGCGGTGGGGCTCCGCTGCCTTTTTAGGGCGTACCGGCCGCTGAACGGAGCACCGAGTCGGAGAGCGGCTTTGTTCATTGCGAATGTGACGATGTTATTTTTCTTTGTTCAAGTGCACACCGCTGTTGGACGCAGATGTGCGGGATGAGACTGTCGACTGTCTGGCCTGGGCTCGCCGCTCCTGCTTTTCCTGCAGCTCTGCCTCATCGGGCAAACTCTGCCTCCGACCGTAGGTGGTGGGGTAGCATCGCTGGCCGTTTGCAATAAAATGTCGATTCTGCCTTTCCTTCCTCTTTCATATTCTCGAGTCCTTCTTCATCATCAAGAACGTTTCGTCATAAAGAATTTTGCATAAACGCGGCTGCAGAGACCGCGCCGACGCCATGTCCTCCACTGAAGCCCCTCCGAAGCCGGACCTGTCCGTCCCGCCCGAGCTCTCCAGCCAATCCAACCAATCCACCCTATCCGACCTCCCTAAGCTATCAGCCTTGTTCACAGAAATCGAGGCGAGATTCAAAACAACGCAGCTCGGTGACGAAAGATGGTATATCCTCGCCCTGTCCTGCCTCGCCACCGGGCCGGAGCCCGAACTCGCCGCACACCTCTACCAGCACCTCATCGCCCAGCCCGCCTTCTCAACCAGCGCGTCCCGCCAGCGGCTGGTGCGTCGTCTGCGCGAGGCCCTCTTCAAGTCCATCTGCGTGATTGGCGTCTGCAAGCCCATCGAGTCCATCCTGGCCATTGCGGCCATTGAGCGGCCCGAGGATCGCGACCTGTCGCAGTCGCGCGAGGGCTGGCAGGCCGACGCGGACAATGAGCAGCGCGCCCGCGACTGGTTCCGCAAGGTGTACACGCACAACGCCGCAGACACGATTGGCCTCTTTGACGCCCACAAGGACTTTGCCTGGACGTCGATGCACATCACCTACGGCCTGTATCTGTCGGATCGGCAGGCGCTCGACGACGTGGAGACGCAGCTGGTGGTTCTGCCGTGCATCATGAGCCAGAATCTGAAGCTGGAAACACGCTGGCACATTCGCGGCACGCGCCGGATTGGCGTCTCCAAGGAAGACACCCAAGTGATCTGGGACGCAGTTCAATCTTTTGCGGCGTTTTTCGACGTCAAGCTGACCAAGGTCCCGACAGTGGACGACGTTGAACCCGAGGTGTAGAAGATTAGTTCGACCTTGGCATTTGACTAGACTCGTAATACGAATACGGAGTACGGTCAGTGAAGTTGAAAGCAGCTGACATGGGTGCAGAAATGTCTCAATTACTGCTAAAGCTTACATAGTCGACCTTGTCTTTTTTGGGTTAGCCATGAGTTATTATCTTGCCCATTTTCACGAATGCTTCATCCCACTCATCATTGATGCTATATTTGCCCTTCATTATCAAGTACTCGCTGCTTCATGTGGTCACCCCGACAAGCATACAAGGATACCCCCCAGCCCAACCCATGTCTGTTTCCCATCGGTGTTCCAAAGAGCTTAGGCAACAATGCCCGACCAGCCATGCTTGTCGTGGCGCCTGTTTTATTTCCAAGGGTGCACGTTGTCCCACTGAAGCAGTGAAGCTTCAACAGCCCCTCTTCCTCGGCCGCATACTGGTAAACGGCAGCCACAGCCTGTCCGCCCCGCCAGCCGCACGTGTACACCTTCTAGTCAAGGAAAGGCTCTTGTTAGAATGCCCAGGCTAGGTGAAATGGACAGGGGCCATCCGGATAGCCGGGGATTCAGTCTGTGGGGAAGTACGTTACGTCGCGAAGCAGGACAGGTCGCTATATCGTGACATTTGTACATTGTAATATTCTTACATCAATCTATGTAAACGTTCAGTCATGAGACCTTTCGGGCTACTGCTCAAAAAGGAAGAGCATGGTAAAAGGCTTAGTCGCTCAGTCCAGAGGAAACAGTAATGCTTCTAGCATTGTGGTAAGCGACATTTTTTGTCCAACGCCGGTGCGCGGGTGAGCTGCCCGGTGCAGTTCTTTTGTAATCAAGACAGCCAAGGCAAAAAAAAAAATCCCTCGAGCGAGGCTATCACGGTCACCAAGTACGTAGTCGTGATGTTACCGGTCATGGCTCGGGTGTATTCTGTCCCCTGCGCTCACACTGGTGAGTTGTTCAGAGGGACCGGTCAGAAGCGGACGAGGCGGAAGAGTCGGTAGAGTTGGTACGGGTAGCCTTGGTGCGCTCACTGCAAAACGGGTTAGTCAAGGTTGCAGAGCATGCTGATGGCGGTGTCATCCACGTACTAGTGACTGCGGTCCTGGAGGGTGCAAGACCAGGTGCTGGTGCCGGCCTTGATGTTGAACTTGATGCCTCTGTTCTCGCCAAAGACGTTGACGGGAGTGCCGGCCGCGGGAGCAGCGGTGGTGGCAGCAGAGGTAGGCTGGGAAGAAGCTTCAGGCATGGTGGCGGTGTTGTATGAGTTGCGTGTAGTAGGTTGCGGGCGTGACAGACTCCTCCAAGTAAACGATAGAGTAGATGTGTATATGAGGATGTGAGATTGGACAAGCCTTCCGAGGACGGTGAAATCGTAAAGTGACAGACGGGGGACTTTATAACGTTGCCACCTACGCCCGCCTGCGATATCAGCGAGGTCCTCAATTTCCGACGCGCGTGGGGGGCAGGAGTTTGGCCATTCCGGCACCGAAGGAGGGTCGCCAAATGGCGTCTGGTGTATTAGTTACTCGCAGACTCCTCCGTCGTTGTTGACCAACCCCAACTGAGTACAGCTAGGCGGGGGGAGGGCAAAGGGCTCGGCCGGACGAAACGGCAAAGGCGGCAGACCCAACCATCCATCCTAGTTATGACGGGACCCAGGTACTCCACGGAGGGCTTGATACGGGTTTCAGACCCCGAGCAAGGCAAAACGACAAAGCAACGAAGAAGGATTATATGCTGCTGATCGTTGGACTTGGGTCCATGTTCCGAGGCCGTCAGCAACTCTAATCCTCTTGTCTGATCATCTTGACCATTTGGTTATACGGCGGACAATTGAGACCAACTTGTCGCAACAGGCGCCAACAAGTACTCGGAGAGTCTAAGCTGTGGGTGTGTAGCCTGCAAGTAACTAGTAGGTGAGCCATTTTCTGGCAAAGGCCTCGCTGGTTTACTAAAACGCTAGTAAGAAAGCCAACCACAACCGGTATTACACCATGGTAATAATAAGACGGCGAAGGGGGGGAGGCGACAAGCCACTCGCACTGAACAAAGCATAGCGCAGTGGAGAAGGGATTGACGGCTCGACACCTTGATTGAGTTGTTGTACATGAGAGAAAACGGAGCTTGAGAATGCCGCGAGGCCGCGAATTGTAGGTACAAAAGGGCTTTGCCCACAAAAGCTAAAAAGTAGCCGAACGATGGGCGGTGACTGAGTAAGTTGGCGTCTCGCAACGTAGTAATACCGGGCCAGAGAATCGTTTCTGATTCCGATGGCTCCCCTTTCCACTTTTTGCCTGCCAAAAGGGCAATGAAATCCGACCCTAACTTGCCACGATGAACAAGGAGCCGCGGAGAATCTGGACAGTGACCGCAGATGGCTGGGGCGACCTGCACTGTACACGCGAGCAAACAAACGAGGCTGGCGCCCCGGAGTTTTTGGAAATATCTCATTTCCCGAGTTTATAGGATCGCTGTATTGGGTGGGCATTCTGGTATCTTCCGTCTGGGAGTGAGGCATGCAACGTTCAGGGCTTCGCCTTTGCAAAAGACACCAACTGATAATGCGCGCGCGCCGCAGATCAATCAGCCAGACACTGCAAGGTTGCAGGAAATGCGCTGGAGCCGATGCAGAGCTTGTCGCATGATGCGACGCCACGGGCGGCGAACCTTGATAACGACCCTTTAATAGGTCCTCTTGTTGGCTGCGGCGTGTTGTCTGTGTGCTGCGTGTGCTTGTCCTACCCAATGCGCATATCGCATATCGCATATCCCAAGTAGTTACACGTGTCTGACGATCATAAGAACGAGGAGCGAGAGGACACGCAAATAGCATCATCTCACAACAGTAACGGCACATTCCAAACAACGGGCGTTGCGTGCCCCTCTGACGATCCGCCCACCGCCGCTGCCCCCTTCTGAGAGTTGGCAGCGACGTGGATGCGGAATATCCAAGGAGATGAAGGGCGTGTAGCACACACTCTCTGCCAAGTTTATAATTAGCCAGCCCGCGAGCCCCAACCACAGAGCCCACCCCGACAGTGACGTAGCGTGAATCCCCAAACGCCCTTGACCCTTCTAGAAGAAATGATGACCCGCCGCTAGAATAGCGCTGGCGCATGTGGCTGATTTCATTCGTTCGGGATGCCGTTTTCGTTTCTCTCCCTTGTTTCCCTCGTCATTTGTGTTGTCGCCCGTCCTTTCTGACCTGCTGCCGGCCGTCGCTCTGCGTGGTGCCGATTCCCGATGCAGGAACAAGTTGGACTGCTGCCATCAATATGCGACGCGGAAAGTATGATAATACTCGCCGTACATGTGAATCTTGTCCGGCCGTGGGGCAGCTCTTGACGCTAGAAAAAGGGTTGGAAAAACCATGTATCGGTCAGCCGCAGCCAAGGCCTTCCAGAACGGCCTTTGGATGCCAAGATGGTCCTTCTCTTGGTAAACCCGGATGCGCATCGCGGCCTTTTTGTGCTTTACTTGTCCATGTGTAGTTGCGCTGGTCTCGATCATCACTCGGCAGTTTTATCGTTGCCCCAAGCCCAGATGTTGGCCTGATTTACCTCTCTCGTCATATGTACCAATGATCAGCAAACAAGCTTTCTTTCCGTGGCTGCAGCACACGGAGCAGGGTCGTTCGACTAGTCCTCGAAAGACTTGGCAAAGCCTTTCATCCCCGCATTCGCTGCATTTGGCGACTTGAAGCGAATCATTGGTGTCGTTTAGGTAATCCTCACGGTGCTTCTGGCTGTTGTTCTTGCTGAGGCAGGCTGAATGAAGTCGTAGGCCACGAACTTTAGGTTTCCACGCAGATCCAAAATAAGACAGTCGAAAGTTCAAGTCCAAGTATCTCTTTGTCGGATGGCTCACACAGATCGGGTCTTACACAAAGGTCCGAGGCCGTTGGCAAGTATTGTTATGTTTCTGCAGACGGCTAAAGGGCTAGTACATGAGTAGATATCCAACATCTCATTCATTAAAACAAGGAAATTCTCCGTATTTCTTCCCGTCTATGTCAGACGGCGCCCTATTCTGTAGCGCCGTTTTCCCGAAGCACATTGGCCACGCTCTCAAACCGTCCCGCCCGGTCGAGGGCCGTCTGTCCGGGCGTCTTGGCATTGACATCGACGCCGGCGCCAATCAGCAGGGTAATTTTCTCCAAGGCGTCGCGGCGCATGCCCAGATACGGGGCAGCCGGGTTCGCGACGGCGACGTGCAGCACCGTCTCGCCGGCCTTTGTGCGGGCCTGGACGTTGGCGCCGGCGTCCATGAGCATGCGCAGCTGGCCGACGGTGCCGAGCATGGCGGCGCAGTGCAGCGGCGTGGCGCCGTCGGCATTGACGGCCTCGAGGTCGGCGCCGGCGCCGGGCGCGAGCAGCACGCGCAGCAGCTCAGGCGATTTCTGCGCCGCCAGGTGCAGCAGCGTGTTCCCCTGGGCGTCGTCGGGGGCGCGGCTGTTGGCGGGCGGGACGGCCGCGCCGCGATCGAGCAAGAACCGCACGGCGTCGGACCCGGCGTCGTCGAGCGCGGCGAGCAGCGGCGTGCGTGGGTCGG